ATTGGAAACATGGAACACAGATCAAAATATCCATATTACATTTTATGAAGGTTAATCATATTGACCAAGCTATACAGTAGTTTAAAGTTCCTGTTTACAGGGGTTTACTACATTGTGCTTTAAAGGCAGAATCAGGTCTATAGGGGTGACAAAATGATAGGCAATGTGCACAATTGACCTACCAATCTAATCCTTACAATGTCAAATACAATATCTTCCAAAAGATTCATGCCATGTTATCAATTGGTGAAGTTATAATGGATTCAAAGTGCAAAAAAATGAGTGAGAAATGTTGAAATTCTCCCAAATGATAAGAATGGTAGCCATTTTTATTGAAATATAATACGTTATTGTAGATCTCTTTAATTTTCCAGAAATGAAGTATGCACCTTGATGATTTTAAGAAAAGAGACATGAGAAGGAATGGCATGAGCCAGAAATATTCTAAAATTGACACAATTTTTTGTTGGGCTGCACGCTAGATCTGATTCTCTCTTTAAATAGTCCGTATCATTTAATGAGAATTGAAATATTAAAAGAAACATTTGGGGGACTTGACATGGGTTATAAAACATATTTGAGGTATACATATTTGCAAGAATATTTTGATTAATGTTAACACTACCCGTCTGTTGATCATAAATGATGTTTCCTAGAACGCCATCCACATTAACTATCTTTCCAATGTACCAAGTGCCATCATAGACTGCAGCAGTATAATTGTAAATCATGTACATAACAGCTGCTTCATTATCATAGGGTTCTTCTGTGTCAGTGCTCTTACTCTGGGGTTCATTTTTTGAACTTCATGAGGCAAAGCAAGAAACAAACGTTTTAAAGGGGGAGCTCTACTCTGGGTGTGTGGTACCGCTTAAGGACAGGGTGCATGTTGGGAAATTTTCTGCATTCCTCAATTGAGTCACATATTTTTTTTTTGTTTTTTTAATATAATAATATATATTTCAGTTTAGTCAATTTTTACACTTTTTACACTTATGTGCCTAGAAAAGCCTTGTGAGAAGGTTTGTTTTGTAAAATGTATAAAAAATGAGAAAATTCAGTGAAAAAAATTTCTGAAATTTTTCTTAAAGTCCTTATCCATACGTTTCAAAAAATATTTTTTGACAAGTCACAAATGATATATCTTGGTAAATACATTGACATTCTGTATATTTCATGAATATTTTATATGTATACTAGTATTTGATGTTGACTTTAAAGGCAAACGTCACATTGGTATAAGCTCCATATCAGGTCTACATGCAACAGGCAGTAACTTTTAAGAATCTGTCGACATTATTATAACGTGAAAAAGAAGAGGTTCTTGTGAGTATTTGGATTTGAAACTTCGCATGAATATTGTGGGAATTTTTAATTCCCCCTGAGTAGTACTAGGGCCTGTGAAACGTTTATTTTACAGGATTTTATGTTATTTCATGTTTATTCAATGTTCCGTCCCTGTAATTTGGATGTGTACTTGATCAGCAAGCTGGGTTGGAATAAATTAGAATAATTAGGCACCCAGCAACCAGTGATCAGCCAATCAGATTCTTTTATTTGAATTTCCCTCCAACATAAGTTGTAGTTTTCCCATGATGCAACTTGATATGTCTGTATTTTATTGTTTGTAAGTAACCACGTGAATCAGAGTAAACCAAGACTTTGCAGAGGAAACTCATCATCAGTTTGTATCATTTTATGTGGGAGCGTGATCGATTTGAATTGAGAACTATATTACATGATATTTGGATTATTTGCTGACATTATTTGCTGCAGTTTTTGCGTCCGTTGTGACTGTGAGAGATACAAGAAGATAACAGCCAGTTTTGGGTGAGTTGGCAATTTGATTATTGAGTTTGACGCCATATTGCTGTCCGCCATTTTGATTTCTTCTTCCCAGAATTCCAAGCGGTCAGCCATCTTTGTTTTGACGGAAGTGACGTCATTTTAAGAAGTAATTCCTCCTCCGAGTAATTAAGGCTCTTGTCTAATCTCAGTTTGATTGATATTCGTGAGTCGTGTCTGCTCCGAGAGGACTCACTGTTCCGAGTGATTACTCCTCCAATTATTTAAGTGTTATATCTCCTCCGAGTTATATTTGGTCCGAGTAGTTACAGCTCTGTCTAATCTCAGTTGTGATTGATATTCGAGAGCCATATCTGCTCCGAGGATTGTTAGCTCAGAGTGCTTACTCCTCCATCTATTCTAGAGTGGAATCTGCTCCGAGGGTTGAGGATACAGCTCCGTCTAATCTCAGTTTATTGATCGATATTCGTGAGTTGCTCCTCCTCCTCCGAGTTATTGATGATCCGAAATTGATACAAGTTGCTGAACTTGACGCATCCTCCGAGGTGATTTGACTCCTCCAGAAGTTAGATACTGAGGTTACACTACCGGAACCAAAGTATTTCTGTGTTGCAAGGTTTATTCTCATTGGAGCCAAGGTTACAATCCCGGAACTGAGGTACTCCACGATCGAGAAGTGGCAGCTCTGGTCTAATCTCACCATTTGATTGACATTCCAGAGATGTTATTTCTCTGTAGAAGTTGTAGTGGTCTCTCTTGTGAAGTGGTGACTCCTTGAGCAGAAGTTACTCCAGAGCCTGGACTCCTTCCAAGAGACAGTGTGAGTAGAGGTTGAGAAGAAATTACTGTGGTGACGAGGTTACTATAGAGACGAGAAGACTCCCGGTGCGGAAGGTACTCCCAATATCCAGGGTTGCATTTAGGAGCAGAGGTTTCCCCTGAGACGAGACAACTCCTGGAATGGAAGGTACTCCAATAGCTAGGGTCTTGTACAAAAGAAGAGGTTTCTCCTGTGAAGTGGCGACTCCCCGAGCAGAAGATACTCCCGGAGCCTGGACCCCTTCCACGAGACAGTTTTATAGAGACGAGAAGACTCCTGGAGAGGAAGGTACTCCAATAGCTAGGGTCTTGTACAAAAGAAGAGGTTTCTCCTGTGAAGTGGCGACTCCCCGAGCAGAAGATACTCCCGGAGCCTGGACCCCTTCCACGAGACAGTTTTATAGAGACAAGAGAACTCCCAGAGACGAGGTTACACTTCCGGAACCAAAATTCCTGGAGCCCTGATTCCTCCGAGGTGAGAAGACGCTGAGGGACATTGGTGTGTGTTTACTGGGAGCAGTTACATCTCAGGTCTTATCTCAGAGTATTGATTGACATTCCTGAGTTGTTCCTCCTCCATAGATATCACATTGAAACAGTGATATAGACGAGACGATACCTAGAGCAAAAGGAACTCCCCGAGGTTAAATTCCAGTTTAGAGTGAAGAAAGCTTCAGAGGAGCAGATCCTCCTCAGGCCATTTTACCAGTTGGAGCAGAAGGACCTCCTAGAGGGGGAAGATAGTTCAGAGGAGCAGATCCTCCTCCTCCTACAATTACTCAAGAAGGTTATTATTTGTGAGAAGAGGAGTTATTAGAAGAGAGAGAAGACTGGAAGAAGCTGAAGTGAACAATTACAGAGACATTCAAGCTCTATATAGACATTTTGAAATTATTTGTACCATTATTCTATGTTGGAATAGATTTTAAAATCCCTGTATATCATCGTTATATTGCCATCTTTGAAAGGTAACTGCCGTACCACCAAACCAGGTCGGCAACCGTGTATAACACCTCCAAGATCCCTTATATCGTCCCTGGCCTTTCCTGAAGTTTGCATACAGGGTACTCCTGGGAATCGGCCCGGCGCGACAATATTTCTTACACATCATTGTTACCTATGAAAATATACAATATGGAGTGTGATAAATAAACTTAGTCTGTTTTCTTCCATATACCTGAAAATGCTTCTTGGCGACAATAACGTAATTTAAGAATTTCTGACTTTAACTGATTTTGACAACACATATGTGGACAAATGGAGCCAAACTTTTGGTGACAATATTAGCCACTGAACCATCCTATACAACCATAATGATTAACACTACAGGCACGGGGTTATTTAGGAGAAAATACGCCAGAAGCACTCGTTGGCATAAGTCGCGCCCTCAAAACCCGGGTTTGCCGTCATCCAAACCCGCCTTTGCAAAAAAACGAACGGTGCATTATTTGACTCGTTCGTGTTATTTTCGATACTTTTCAAACCAGAATTTTCATTGTTGTTATTAGAAGGGTTCCTCGTAATTAACTCTTAACTATGGATATGTTGACTCAACTACAACGGACATTTAACGAGATGTTTTGCGCATAGGGTTATAAAGTGTCTTGTATGATGCGCCCTCAAAACCCGGGTTTGCCGTCATCCAAATCCGCCTTTGCAAAAATGTGAACGGTTCATAATTAGAGTCATTCGTGTTATTTTCGGGAGTTTTCAAACCTGGATTTAATTGCTTTTATTTGAAGATCCTTGTTATCAATTGTAATATTATCCATATTTATGAATAAAAATAGTATGTCAAGTTCCTCATCTCTACTGGTCAATTTTCCTTGCTTTAGTAGCCGTTGACCTGATACATTATCTTAGTCAAAATAGAGAACGAACGAATATAAGGGGTCTTCTAGCTTTGCACATTTTAGACCAATCATAATACATAACTTTTTCTAATATGTTTAACGTCTTGGTAGATAAAAAATAACATGTATAAAGTTCTAATAAAACGAACTTTTATATTTCGTGGCCTCATTAAACACTTATTTCGTTTGGAATGGCCTTAAACCCTGGTCCGCGAAACACACATTTAAATAAGGGATTGGCGCACCCGGGTCTGACTGTAAACCTCCTGTTCACTGTCGTATGAATTATGAATGTAGTTTCGCACAGTTGTCAACGGAAACAAAGAGTGAACCCTGCTTTCCCGAACCCGGGTTTCCAGGATTCACCTCGCATGCCTTCGACTCCTTCTCAAATACGCGGCGACAGAAAAATTGTAATTGGGGCATTACTATCTGGAATGACTGTTTATGCACACATCCAAAACTTGTCATCAAATGTTTTTATGTGGAAATTATGACTGATATTTAAAATAAAATGCTTACGGTATTGTTCTAATGGAACTATGTTTGGCAAGCTCTTGTTTCAGAGGTAGGCATACATCAGCCATGCCCTCTGCGTGTAGCCAAAGCTTATCATCAAGAATGCTGGGTGTCACAAGACAGAGAGTAGGTTGTTCTTTGTTTGTTATGATTTTATCATTATCGTCGACAATCATAAAACTCCTGAAACGAGTACTCTTATGAAGAAAAATCATAATATGAATTATTTTGAACGTCCGTCCGTCCGTCCGTCCATCCATCAATCCACCCATCCGTTCATCCATCAATCCATTAATCTATCCATATATTCATCAAACCAACCAATCAACCACCCATCCATTCATTCATCCATCCAACCATTTATTCTTATAGCCTTTCTTCTAAATCTGACAGCGCTGGCTGCTTGAATTAATAAATCGTCCAGTGGACATTTCCAAATTATACCTTTTTAAAATATCGATTTACGCCACAATTTCAGAAATTGATGTTTTTTCACTCATGTAGAAGATTACAATGTTCTATACCATAGTCAACATTAATACAGCGTAAAATACGATAATAAAGTTCACCAAGCAAGTCAGCGGGCCTTACCTGTCCAATACCCCCTTATATCTCAATGCCGCGTGTGTTACGTCACATTCCTCCACCTTTATCCCTTTTAGTGACTTGAACGGATAGAAATATATTGCGTCTATAGTTGCAACCTCTTTTGAGTTCACTTTATGCCTCCATGTTACGTATTTAAGGCACAAATGTTTTACCACCGAGAGGCTGACCCCTCCAACAAGAAGGGGACCGTAATCACTCCACTGCATATTCGTAACTATACTTATCTTTAAATTAAATAACGCTACTTTGCACAAGAGTTAAAAATTTGCTTTTCAAGGGTCATTACTGTTGCAATCTAACACTTAAGCATCATGTTGGACCCCATACATTACAATAAACATTGACAGGTTGTGTTTCAAAAAGAAAGTTGAGCACCTAAGAGCAGCCAGCTAAAAGGAAAACACCCCTCAATTATCTATGATCTAACGTAAAGGAATAATGGCTTAATCCCATATCCACCATTTACACACCGGAATAGCCTGACTACGGTAAAGTCAGATACCGTTGTCACAAATGGCGGACATAACCGTCGCTTCAACTGTTTAATCACTTGGTCCTCATTTCATGGGATTTTATCGTCGCTAATTCTGTGCATGCATTAAGCTCTTGTGATAATGTACAGGGTGTCCCGAAAGTATAGGCCCCCCTAGGCAGACATATTCCAGTGTCCTCATAGTATGTGTCATATATCATTTTAAAGCTTATCCAAAGTTACATTGATTAGCCAAGTATAATGGTTAAACCCCTCAATTATCTATAATCTAACGTAAAGGAATAATGGCTTAATCCCATATCCACCATTTAGGAAATACTATCACAATTCAATACCATAAGACTATGGGACATTTCAATAGTTAAAAATCAATATATATATATATATATTTTTTTTTTTTTTTATTAATTTATTGCAATCACTTTTAGATCAGTGGCACGTAGTTAAACTAGTGCAGCAGCAGTTAAAACATACAATACATGGGTACAAGTACAATTCTAAAGCAGAGCTAAAAACATTTGCGCAATAAGTCATAAAAACAAAACTAAAACAGTCGAAATGTTGAGACTTGCGCAGACCTCTATTTAGTGATATTTTCATTTCAAATATGGCGGCCAATCCGATGTCTGACGACCCTTACAAAGAATCTAGGCAGTGTGCATTTTTACCTCCTGTGAAATAACAAGTGGAATTTAGTAGTTGTTTTGTGTTTTATTATCATTCTGCATCGTAATTCTATGTGATGTGGTGTTGAAATGTCAGCAGAAATACATATCCATACGATAATCGAGTGAATCAATTAACAGATTTTTCGAAAACCCGTCTCGTGCTAAGCGTGTAAAAACTTGTATTAACATGCTCATAAGTGCCAATGTGCACATCAATGTCAAGCTAAATCAATGTTGTGTCTAAAACAGGTACCTGATCTACTCAAAACAGCTTGTCATTCACGTATACACGCTTAGCAAACACGGCGAAATTATCTGAATCTTGGAATTTCGTTCGAGAGCTAGTAATGTTTGCTCAGACTTCACGCATGCTCATGAGAAAAACCATCAATCAATAACGTTTATAAATCAATTTTGCGCAAGCGCCTTACAACGGTAAAGAAATTCGTATTTATAAACGAACCAATTTGAGATAACCCGATGTCAGTCGAAGAAATCTGTCTATCTACGAAAGTCACTTCAAAAAATCAAATGCGGACTGACGGCGTATTCTACTATGTTTGGATCTAAGATTTTCAGTATAGATAAATTCTTTTATGATCTTTCGAATGAGGTAAGTCTCTAGTTCGAAAGACAATCGTATCAACTTGAACAAAAGTTGAGTTTTGACGAAAAATTTTAACATGCGCAGAAGTCCCATTTTCGTTGTACCATATTGACTGAAAACATTTGCAATACATTAACTTGTTGGTGCTACATATATGTTTTTGATAAAATACTTTGAACATGCATCAAAAATATAACCTTGTTCTTGACCCAAGATAGCATAGGCTGCATCCCCAAGCACCCATTCTAAACCATTATTGGGAATACATGTCTTAAAATAATTATAAATGTGTGGAAGTCTATTCTCAATGCTATTATAAAATATAAACCTTTCCTCTTTAAACTTTGGGCAAGTAAAAAATCGATGTTCATGAGTTTCTTTACAGCTTATATTACAAAAAGAACACATTCCATCACTTATACCCCATCTCTCAAGATCAATGGCGAGACCAAAGCATCCTGATCTGGCCTTGAATTTAAGTTTTTGAGCATAGAAGTCAAAATCAGTTTTAAGGTATTTTTCCATAAGTGTGTTTCTTTTAATATTACTATATACTGTAAGTGACTTTTTCTGGTTTATCGAGTCAAAAAATGTATTGCGTAACAAATCATTAGATATTTTCAAATATGACGAGTACCAATCTGTGTCCTCTCTGTATATTACATCATCTAAACCATGGTTGGTCAAAATATCTTTAATGCTAGAAAAATAAGACTAGGAATAGGAAAAGCGTCAGTTATAAATAAATAAATAATTAATAAATGTTAACAGGTGTATGTTAAAGTGACTTCTCAATGTCGTAGTCATATTTTTTGCGTCCACATAAAACAAAGGTTCTACCTTTTATCCACATACGAGACCAGACGTCTTTTTTATTTATCAACCACAGTGATCCTTGACAAATCATTTAATATAAGGTCAAAGTGTTGCACACGTTTTAATCCTTTCGTGATGAAATGCTACTGGAATGTTCTTGATAGGAAAGTTCTCGAGCATGAGGTAAACACCCCAGTTACATTTCCTACGGCGACCCTGCGATCTACGCTCGCCGTGGAATTTCTGCGGTCGGATACTTTTGCAGTCACATTTCCTACGGCAGCCACACGGCGAGTTTCTGAATTTCTGTTGATTTAACGTAATTCCTCTTTTTATTTTATCTACATCAGTACAATCAGTACAAAGGTACATTACCCATCAAACCCTACAGCAGATGCAAGTCAACGGCAAACCCAACGTGCGGCCACCGTTGGACCTTTCTGCTGTCTGGCAACGGCCAGTTGAATTTTACGGGAACCGCAGAAATGAACAAATATTATAACTCCGAGTTATAATTTCTATGGCTTCCCTGCGGCCTGTAAAAAACTGAATACGCTGTACGGAGACCGCAAGGCGAGCGTAGATTTTCTACGCTTGCCGCAGAAATACACTTATTTAATTGATCTGCGGTCGACGCACGGCCTCCGTAAGACAAATGTGACTGGGGTGTAAACATTATATCACAACATATTGCTCTATTGACACGAAAGGGCGAAACAGCTTGCCCCAAGGTGCAACCGTCAATAATCTTGAAATATTTTTACCATTTTTTGGAATTAAATAGCCATGTACTCATGAACTATTTTTACATATAAATAACTAATGTGCCTTTTATCTTGCATTTTTAATATTACTTTTTTGACTTAAAAGTAAATGAGTAGACAATGAACAAATAGAAATATTATGTTCATTGGTCACATTTGGTTATTTCACCCAAACATGGTTTCGGGATATTTTCAATGCATACAAATTAGGGCACTAGTGTGAATTATGCGGTCATTTATGTTGCTTGGTTTAGCTAAACCTTGGTCCGAATCTCAATCGTCCGGATCCCATTGGTCCGAATTCCCATCGTCTGATATCATTCGTCCAAATCCAAATCGTCCGAATTCCATTTGTTGCAATGCCACTTAGTAACGCATAATTTTTAAGATAAAGATGCTAGATATATGTGGAAGTGGAATAAAACATCACATTGGTGTGTGGTTATCAAATGCAATCTATTAATCATGTTTATTGCAATTGGTTACATTACATTTAGTGTTTTACACTTTGCATTCTTTGCTGCCACGTTAAGTTAACTCCAGGCTTGTTAATTTGTTGACTTAACTTGTTAATTTTCGGATAATTAGCTTTTGAACCAATGGGATTCGGATCATTGGGATTTGGACAATTGGGATTTGGACGATTGGGGTTCGGAGTATTGGGATTCGGACCATTCGGATTCGGATTGGATTCAGACTAGAACCACTAGAGAAAATAAGTCTTTCATGAAAAACTTTGCCAACGTGCCTGAACTCGTCTTGACTCTTTAATGGAATTGTAATGACTTGGGTACCAAGTTGCTACTTTTAAGTTTGCTCAGTCGTAAGAGCATCAGAATCCAGGCACGTAGCCACGGGGGAGGGGTCACAGGGTTCGGACGAACCCTCCCCCCTGGCCAAAAATTCTTTCAAAACCATGCAGATTTTCACCATTTTGAGCGCTTCTCAAGTGATTTTAGCCATATTTGGGCCAAAATTGTCAAATGTGAACCCCCTGGAAATTTTTGAAAAGGGTGTCGACTTTTGGCTTGCAACCGAAGATACCTCAAGAAAAGCCGGAGATTGCCGAAGATTGCCGAAGACTTTCTTTGCAAACGAAGTTGGCCGAGGGTACCACGAATGTGAAGAGGACGTCTCTAATTGGCTCGGCATTCTCCATCAGATTGAATCGGCAAAATTCGGTTGTATGGCTTACCTTCGGTTGTATGGCTTCCCTTCTGCTGTATGGCCCAACCTCGATTGAATGGAAAAGATGCTGTCACTTTTTGAAAACTGACCTTCCCCCCTTGGCAAATCCTGGCTAAGGGACTGGAATCTAAATTAGAATGTCCTGGGTTTGGTTCCCACCCAGAGAATTCCACTTCAACTCCCAAAGGCGCCTTCAGGTCGTTACACAGAGTCACATATTTGCATATTAAAGTAGATTTTGCCATCCTTCCACCATATCCTCGTGTTTCTTCAATAATACTAGCAATCAATTTAAGTGGGTCAGAACTGCCCTAACATGCCAAATACCTGACTATTGACCCTTCACCTTGTGATGAACTTGCCTAAAGGGCTTAAAAAGTAAATATCTCCCAAGCGCCGAGGTGACCTTGAACCATATAAAATGAGTTTGACCTCATGTCACCTTATCATGAGTCCCAAAGGGCCACAGCAGTCCCATGGGCCATGAGATGACCTTGAACCATATAAAATGTTGAGTTTGACCTCATGTCACCTTATCATGAGTCCCAGAGGGCCACAGCAGTCACATGTGCCTTAAAATGCCAAATACTGAAATACTCACCATTGACCTTTGAATGACCTTTACCTCAGATCACCTATTTATTGGTTGGTTGTCAAGGGTAATAGCAGCCCAAAAAAGCCAAATACTTAGACATCGATCTGTGACCTTGGTATGACCTTGACCTATAAACACTGACATTGGCATCAGGTTACTTTATAATTGGTCATCGAATGTCACTGTAGCCCCATAGTAGCTAACTACCTAGATATTTACCTTTGGCCTTGAAATGACCTTGACACCAGGTCACCTAATCATTGGTCGCCAAATGTCACAATTGTTCTCAATTGCCTCAAAACGCCAAATTGCTAGATATTGACCTTCGAATTACCTTGACCCATTCAGTTGACCTTGACCTCAAGTCACCTAATCATTGGCTATGGAGGGTCACACCATCGGCCAAGTACCTTAAAATGCCAACTGCCTAGATATTGACATTTCGCCTTGAAATGACTTTGACCTCTGACATTTGTAGAATACACATTTTATGATAAAAGTGAAACATACGGATGTTGAAAACTGACCTTTTTGAAAATAAAATTGCTGCTAATGTTTCAAAACTAAGGTATCTGTAGACATAGTAAAATTGTAACCGTTCTTGATACAAATTTTGCAAGGAATGCTTACATAAATCCTGTTGCATATAAATCTAGTGCAACTGATACAGGTATTACTCTTGACACAGGTCTGTGCATAAATCAAACTTCTTCGATGTGCTGCAAATCGGAATCAATTAAGTTGTTGTCCACTTATGGCTTAAAATGGCTTACTGTTAGATAAACCATCTCTCATCTAGATCAGTGTCTACAAGCAAAAAAGTATCAACTTCCGTGCCTGCTGCATCACTACAAATAATTACAGTAAAACATGCAAAAGGTGATTTTATTTCAAACAATTATGGAAAACTTATTTGTTTCTGACTTTTCAATGGTTTTTATTCAAACGTTAATGGTTCTATTCCTATTTTACCTACTGAATGATTTTTATATATCCGAATAACAATTATATTAGTTTTTGGCAAAGTCTACTCAGGGATAAACTTCATTGAATACTTTTTTTTGTACTGGTTTATACCCTCTCGCTCTTTAAGCAAGGGCGATGAATTGTAATTTTTCAGTCGAAACAACCAGAAAACATATCTAATTATTTTTTGTTTCACATGTAACTTATAAAATTGAGTTGAACTTAGTATTTTTTCAAAACATCACTAAATATGAAAAAGTTTTAAATAAAGTTGATCCTTGTTTGAGCCCTATTGTTTAGTTTTCCAAAAGTTAATGTAATGGTTATTGTGATATCAAAAAACATTGAAGACGTAATTGATTTGTAAAGCCGTTTTGAGGTCGGAAATATCCAATTTGTTACTATAATTGTTGTTAATAAAATTACCACACCCGAATGGACTATCATTACATATCAATATCAAATTTGCCTACTATTTTGTATACTTACTGCTATTATCTAAAAAGATATATATTTTTCAAACTCATTTTTTATGGTTGCACCTTGGGGCAAGTCGTTTAGCCCTTTCGTGTCACTTTTTTTAATGCAGACAAGTAAAAATGAATAGACAATGAATTAGTCTATAATGACAATGGGTCACTTCATAGTAACCTACCCCGACATCAGATTAGCCTATCTGAGCCACTTTGAAAGCAATTTGGAGCATACTATAGAGGAATACCTTTTCCAATCACATTGTGATTATGCTGTTAATACAGTATTGGTAGTATACATTATGTATCATCGTGAATAAATGATACGGGTCCTCAACCTTCAACTTAGTAGTAAATGGACATTCCTGGCCAGACCATTTCTAACCTGACATGGTAGCTATAATCATATACATGGTAAATTGGAAATCATAAAGTAAGATCAAAAGTGCTCTAACTTTTATAAATATTAATGAATCTAGCTCATTTTTTCACAGAATATTGGTCTACGAATTATACATACATAAAACACACACAATATTGTGCGTTCCATGGTAACCATGGCAATCCTTGTCGAGGGTACCCGGAGCAGTCAAGAAAATATTAAATATTGCGATGTTTTCTTTCCTAATGGTTTTATGTTGTGGGAATACTACTATAATTTGTTACATTCAAAGCATTTTTTGTATATTATTATTTTCTCAGATGTTCATTCTAGGTGTTCCATATATTTGCCATTATGTTCAACACATTTTAAGGACGTTTAATCAAGTCCATGAACACATGTTTGAAGCCACCTTCACTAATCACATGCATCCCGTCGAATACCACCTTTTCGGATCCTCGTCTGTCATGAGAAATTCTCCCCATAGCTCATATTTCAAGTCCCTATATATTAAGTCTGTGTGAGCCATGTCTGTTGAGTAAGGGGCCATACCCAGTTGCCCAAACCCTTAGCTTTCCATTTGCTTCTGTGTTAGACGTGTTGTATGGCAAGGTATTTCACCCAGGAAGTGATGTCATCGACTGTAAACTCTATAACCTTGCCCATAACAGTGTAGGAAAGTAGCATAAAATCATTTCTGGACAAGTGGCCCATACTCTTTATGCAAAAACATTTTCAGAGCTTCTCAGATAAGAATAAAATAGAATAGGTAGAAAGTATACATATGGTTGTAGCTACCATATTAGGGAGAGAGATGGTCTGGTCTAGCAAGGAATATCCCTTTAACCGTCAACTATCTATGCTCTCACAATGTCCCCAACTTTAATAGTACCACCGACATCTACGCCACAAAATATTCCCATCATTGGATTATTAGCAAAGAATTTCTGAAGATCTTTGCTTAGTGTTGCCCTAAATTCTGTGCCTGGTCTATATCTACAATAACATAACATGTCAAATATAAACGATTTGGCTTTGCATAAATGCTACTTCTCAAATGAATTTATTGTATCTACATTTATAATAATAAACGATTTCGAGGCATAAAGCATAAATGAGATGTTACTTTATTTACAAATTATCTATCCTTATAGACATACTTTAGCAATCCCTTTAAAGGTTGGAAGTTCTTGTTGCGAATTCCTGTCGTTGTATTTATATTGCAAGCTATACATCTGTAAATATATTGGGCCTATTAGTCCATGGTATGGAATCTCTAGAACGTCTAATAAAGGAGCTGGTAGCACACTATAGCGCAGCGATATTTGACCTAGCATTAACATACCAACATATGTTCAGTAATAATTTTCATTATAACCGCTTAATGTACTTCCGGCTTTTGAGCTAAATTATGCCTGTCATTAGCAGAGGTCAAAAAATTACCAAAATAAAATTCCAATTTTTCACAATTTGGAGTACACAATGCAACAGATGAAAACATTTTTCGTCCCAAAAGCTGGAAGTTTTTTTTAGCAAATGGTATTTTATAAGAATCAAGGCATATGCACCTCCTTAAATTTTTCTTCAAATGTTGCTGCGCTAAAGTGTGCTATGGAACTTTCATTTTCGGAAGTCATACCTTTGACTATATATTGAATATAGGATTTAATTGAGCGATAGCATGTACATGCGTTATTTATCTTAGTTCCCTTATATAAGCTAAGTATTATATTTTATATCACATATTATATTAGTGGATAAAAATATTTCCTTGCAGGAATTCTAAAATAAATTGTCTGAGCCCGAAATATGTCCTTGTTATTAAGTTGTCACATTGGTGTCTTTATATTGCTCCCTACTTTGGCTTCAAGCTATTTTCGTAATAATTAAATCAATTGTGTTTTAGAAAACCAGACCTTGGATTGGCAGACCACATATGTATCTTGGTCTGATCTCCTATGTAGAAAACATCCCAAAAGTCCTCCGCATATGGATCACATCCCTTTACTATCAGATTCATTCTAAAATTCCCTAGCATTATTTTGTCCTCCTCGTCCAACCGTGTGTTCAGATCATCGACAGACTCTTGTGACATCAGAGTGAGAGGCGATGCCTCACTGAAGGTGGTCTTTTAACATAATACAATAATTATAACATTTGATTTCATAGTTTGTATGAATCAGAACACAGTGGTATCTTAATTATGTGTTTACAGTTTAGATCATCAATTGAGGGAATCATTGTCACAGTAAGTAATCCCGTACCAATAACTCACTTTATTATGCACCTCATTAAAATACTCAAATCTGATTGGTTAAGAGCTGCAGGGTCTATTGCAATACGTGGCAGCAAGATCTTGTTCTATCCAGTATTGAAGCAACGAGATCTCCAACCATCCCGTATGCCAGAATACCTATCCTCGAAAAAAATACTAGTTTCGGCTTCTGTTTTAATAGACCCCTTCTTTAAAATAAAGTATTTCTTGACAATTTAACACCATCTTTTATTTATCTACAGTGAATTAATGGTAGGAATATGATATTAACCAAGGGAGGTGCATAATAAAATAAATACAGGATGACCATGAGGTGGATATGCCAGAATACCTATCCTCGAAAAAAATACTAGGCTTGGCTTCGCCTCGCCTAGAGTATTTTTTCCTCGGATAGGTATTCTGGCATTTCATCCTCATGGTCATCCAGTATTTGTTTAATATCTAGTCTTCTAATTTGGAAACACAATGATAGCTTTACCATAAAGGAAACTAAAATTTTTAAAAAGTATACCAGGTACATGTGTGCCTTCTTGGAAATTCATGGAACCTATTAAGGATGCATAATGATCTACAAGGGACCCAATGAGGCCTACTGGGGAACTTCTCTTACCTACTAGAGAACCTGTATAGGGCCTACCTTGGAACACATAAAGCCTATTAAGGGAACCTGTTGGGTCTAATGAAAAACCGCATACATAATTAATATTAATATGATTCCATTTTCAACTCCTTATGGGTAAGTGATCTAAATTCTTCCCGTGATTTCATAAATAAGTGAAGCGAATGAAGGCCTACCCCTAATTTTTTTCAATTTTTTGGGAAAGTTACAATTTTTTCTCCACACCCAATACAGGTTTAATTCTCACCATATGCTTTGCATACATATAGAGTATACAACAAGATAAAACTGGGAATTGTATACATGGTTTAGTCGCTTTTTTAGGAAATATAATGGCGATCATGTAAAATATCTGTGCACATTTAATACAAAATTTCAGAGAGAAAAGAGATAAACAGATTGGGATACCTTATCATAAGCAAGAAATTATAAAATAACTTTAAAAAAATGGCACATATTTGGAAAAAAAATTCCCTTGGGGGTCTATTTTTCAAGGGGAGGGGGTACCAAAAGTGATTTTTATATGTTCCACGAAATAGCTATGTTATTTTATATGTATTATTATGTGAATTGAAAAAACAACATTTAAATACTATTGCAATTACTTTTGGGTTAAATGTTACTTTGGCTGGACTGATACATTAAATTCAACTTCTAAAATTAGAAATTAAGAATGTTATTTACCATGTCCCATGGCTTAGAATATTGTTCAAGAAAAGATTGGAATCCTATCATCTCTTTTTGAATAAGCACCTCTTGTTCATAAAAGTAGATCACCCGCAAGTTTGTCTTGTTCAGATATTTATTAAACCAGTTCGCTATGGTATCTCCACAATCCATGCCCTTGAGGTTTATAAAGTGTTTTCTGCCAAAACAATTATAACATATCTGTAGAAAAGCTTAGATTGAAAAGGTAATCGTGTCGGAACTCACTTTGCTGTAACTGCAATCTTTATAGTTTTTATAGAGGTATATTATACGAGGGTTGACATTTTAATTTTATTTTATAGAAAATAATTTGACTTCCGTTTTTACATCTAAATATTTATGGCATACTAAAATGCTTTGCTGATTTAATAAGTCATTGATGAAAAGAGAAATATAAGAAAGAAGAAAATAGAGTGGTATAAACCTCAGAACGGTATTAACCTTAGAACTGTTCATGTCTTGTAAAAATTTCATAGGAAGGCAATTATATTATATATTGCTTGTGCCTGTAGTCATAACAAGTATAGGTATAAATAAGAAAGGCCTTTTAAAATAGTTGCAAAGCCAGATCTAGCTATTTAAATTAAAATACTCACGTTATCGTTCTGATGATACTGTTTTTGCTTGGCATTTGTTTTAGAGGCAGGCATACATCAGCCATGCCCTCTGCCTGAAGCCATAGCTTATCATCACGGATGCTTGGTGTCACAAGGCAAAGAGTGGGTTGCTGTCTCATTATGATCATTTCATCATTATCATCAACAATCATAAAAGTCCTGGAATTAAGAAAGATGTCAGGTTCCATATAACTCTGCAAAAAAGTATGATACTCTATGTTGTATTTTTGAAAACCTATATATGATTCTGTTCTTAGGAGAATAACAGTTTGGGTCAAGTTCTAAGTTCTTATATGCAATCATTTGGTATCAAATTGAAAATAAAGAGAGGTGTTGATTTTGGGAGCACATATGGAGCGTGTCATGAACTAGCCATTAATAGAAATGGAAGAGGATTGCCATTTCACACTTTGAACATGATGTCATACATTGACTAATGTACATTTGTTCAAGAAATGAATCTGATCATGGCATTTATGTGAAAGTCAAATGAAAAAAACAGACCACTTTTTCGGTCACCCTTTATCTTGCAATTTAGATCAATATTAAATCTACGTGTTTCAAGTTTCTTGTCTTTCGAATGTATTTAACAAACACTTACTAGTTTAATATCTCCAATTTTCACATCACCTTGGAAGTCAAAGATGACAACCGATATTAAGTCTTACCTGTCTGATACCCCCTTATATCTCAGTGCCGCGTGTGTTACGTCACATTCCTCCACCTTTATCCCCTTTAGTGACTTGAACGGATAGAAGTATATTGCGTCTATAGTTGCAACCTCTTTGGAGTTCACTTTATGCCTCCATGTTACGTATTTAAGGCACAAATGTTTCACCACCGAGAGGCCGACCCCTCCAACAAGAAGGGGACCGTAATCACTCCACTGCATGTTCGTAACTATGCTTATCTTTGAGTTAAATAACGTTACTTTACACAGGAGTTAAAAAATTAGCTTTTCAAAGGTCATTATTAATGTATGTTGCAATCTCAAACATACGCGTCATGCTAAACCCAATACATAACGATAAAACCTGACAGTTGTGTTTTCATTTAAGAGCATAACCAGCTAAAAAGAAAATATCCCTCAATTATCTGTGCACCCAAATTTTAAAAAATGTCCAAATACAAGTTTGAAAAATCTGATTTTTCAAGTCAGAGAAGCACTGATTGTTTTTTGTTAAGACATAAGAACATACCAGTATATTGATGGATATTACTGTGAAATATTTTAAACAATCTCCTCCTCGTTTTAAGATGTGCCATGTTATATGTCAACCAACATTTATTGGAATAAGGCATTAAACACCTCCGTTACTGTTAATGAATATTTAGTTTATTGCGTCAACTTTAGATCCTATCAATTATTTTTGTATATGAAATACTTAAGGTTTCTGTTATATGTGCCTATATCATAAATATCAAACAAAACTTCAGAATATGTACAGCAAAGCAAAATTACATGGTCTTAAAATTGACCACTCGTTTTTAATTCGTAAAACTTTTCATTGATCATAAATGTATCATAGATAGCAACTTATATATTGGATTACAAACGAAAGGAAACATATTATTTTTGAGTGAAAAGGAAAGTTTCAACTAAGGGAAACTTGATGGGCTGTTTGTTTCCTGTGGGTACTTAAAACATTTGTGAACAAATATATTTCAACTTAAGCATCATAAAGTAACTTCCGACATTATGACATTATTAGGCTATATTGCATTTGTAAATCAATTTGCTTTAATTCGACCTTTAATTTTGACCTTTTTATGATAAAAATGAGTGAAAAAAGCTTCACTTGAATTGTTAAATCTGGGGACATAATTCTTATTAAAAGTGAAAATATGGCATAATTTAGAGTCATATGAGAAAAACTTTCTTGTACTCGTACCTGTGCAATATCGCATTTACCGACCTTGGTATGTCTAATGCATGGCTCGTTATCAATCAAAGCGAGTATGAATGAGAAGACAAACCGAGAACCATACACACTATAGTGTATTTATTGCATCAATATTCGTAACATTAATATCTTCGGTTTTTACCCCACGGATGGTACCTACTATCCCACAAATAATTGACTGTCTTACACAACATATATGTAAGATGCTTCAAAACTGTATTCGACCCGATCAAATATAAATTTGATAAGTATTTTAAATATATGCGATGCCAAGTACCATTCGTTTTGGGTAAACATATTCATTTGTGGGGTAAGTCACGTGACATACCGAATGATTTTATATAAACCAAAGTTCACTGTTTTGATGTGGGGTAAGTCACGTGACTTCGGTCACGCCATCTATATATTCTAAGAGCTCTGGTGTGATTCTCCAATCGCGAACACGTATCTTCTAAATTAAGAAAGGATCGCGTGTAGCCTTATGCTGCAATGATTATTAGTAGTAACTTCTCAATTTCCTCTCTGAATTGTAAATATGAATCTTATTCAAACTCTTTTTTCTCGCTTGTTTCATCCATTTTGAAATAATTTCTACGTCACTGGTCACGTGATTTACCGAATGGTTTTATGCCACATACAGCATGATTCATTTATGTGGGGTAAGTCACGTGACTTACCCAATGATTTTATGCGAAAGTACATGTCATAAATTATGTGGGGTAAGTCACTATATGTCCGTGCTATTTTGTACTGTATGATTGTTCGGTAAATGAACATTGTTTGGTTCTAAAGTGTATTTATATTTGATGCGTGTTCTAAATATATGTGTCGACCGTCTTTGTTCGTGTGTGTACATGGACTTAAATGTGTGACATTTTACCAAACACTGAATAACATAAACCGCATATACAAGTGCATTTACCGCATATATAGGTACATGAATCAAATATATATGTGTAAAAACAAACAAATTTATTACGTGTTTCGAATCATTTTAATAGAGTGGAATATCGAATGGTTGTAATCAAATACAAAAGTGTGAAAATCGAATAATGATGCAGAAAAAATTCCATAACACACACCATACACATGTTTACCAAACATTGGATTGGCGGTATTAGCGTGTCCTATTCGGCGGTAGGTTGTAGGCGAGTAGTATTTCCCCTCGTGAATACAATGTCTGATTGTTGACATTTATTTTTTTAAGTTTTGCAAAAATATAGATGTCGTGGCATGTGCAACTATGTCTGTTTGGTCATGTGCATAATATATTAAGTGTCAAACTCAAAGGTCAAAATAGCACTTTTGAACAGCAAAATCTTCACATAAACCTTATCCTAAAAGATCCGATGTTATCGGACATCGGACCCGATGTGATAGATGAGTAATATTTCAAAGATCCGAAAATATCTTGAGTAAAGGGTCTCAGGATCTGAACATTATTTGAGTAAGATATGTTGAGATCCGATGATATCGTCGAGTTTATGACGTGCTGATGATGAATTAGTGTTAGGGTTACTTTTGGGAGTTTTCGAACCTTGATTTAATTGCTTTAGAAGGGTTCCTCGTTATTAATACTATTGTAACATTTTGACCCAGACTGACACAACAGAAATTGAGCTATCAACACTGGAGGATAGGAATAGCGAGGAATTGCATTTAAATTAATTGTTATCTATATTTATGGATAAAAAGGAATATGTTTCACGTTCCTAATCTCTACTGGTCTCTGCTGGTCAATCTTTTTTCATTTTAGTAGCCGTTGTACTGGCATCTTATCTTATTCAAAATTGAGAGTGAATGAGTATAACGGGTCTTTTAACTTTGCACATTTTCGACCAATCAAAATATATATACACGTCGCACAAAACTGGTGACAATTAGCGTAACATTATGGCGTCAAAATACCAAAACAAAACAATAGGCAGTATAGGGCGCAAAGAGACTTATAACGTCAAAAACGACAAGGACAACATTTCTAAAATGTTTTTGATTTTTAAAAAACGGTCAGGAAATCCACTCGGGGCGTTAGTAAACATTCATATGTATGGAATTTGTGGTAAAAAATCAATGCGTTACATTTATTCAACTCTAAAACCAGCTCTTATTTTGATATTATTTGAAAAATAAAAATCGGTTATTGTTTTATAAATTTGTCCATGACAATATTGTGCAGTTCATTTTTTTTAAATCAGACCTAAATTAGAAGGTTAAATAAAGGTAAACTTATTGCTTGTCTCCTTCGCATTCAAAACCTTGCACAATTTTAAGTTATGCAATAGTGACGTCATAAATGCACATGTTCTATTGAATAAAATGAGAAATTTTAGTAAAATTCTGATCAGTAATTTAAAAGTTATCCCGATTTCAATGAACCGTGTAAGCGTGAAATGTTACGTCTTACAGCGTATTTGACGATGTCGGGGTACATTTAACTTTAAAAATATGGTAGATCCCTTCTAACTTTTCAAGGAAAATAGTTTCAGTGAAATGCGAATAAAAAATACTTCAAAATAATCAAAATGATGTATAAAGCACATAGTTACCTTTTTAAATAAGGCAGATATTAACGCTTTAAGCTGAGATTAGCCCGTATTTCCCGAATTGTCCACAGGTCCGTGCACGTCCAGTTGGACGGCACATTGCCTTAACCCATCAGCTTTATGACGTGCACTTCCGCGTGGGACTATATCTTTACAACGGGAATTTCAAGTTTTTGTCAGTGTAGACATAAAAAGTTGCGGTCCTCTTACTCGCGCAGTTTTTAATATTTTCATTTGAAACTTGCAGGAACGGTGCTTTGAATCTAGCTCTCTACTCTTTGAAAACGTCATGTAGAATCAAAACAGTTGAACTATTTATTTTTTGTCGTGAAAATATTATTTTTTTAGTTTATTTTTATTTTACAACTTTTTGGGAAAAAATGTAACAAATTTTTATTTCTTGTCATATTTATCCGATATTTTGTCATCATGAAATTCGAGATTCCTTTTAATGATGGTGCAAATTTCATAACAATTGATGAATTTTTATTATCAGTGTTATGTTTTCCAAAAACGATGTACCACTGTGCATGTTTCTTTAATTGACGGCACATTTGCCTTTAATTGGGCGAACGTACAGGTCCCGACGCAATAAGCTTTATTTGATTTAATACACTCAAAAATAAAGTTTGCTATCAAATCAGAATGTTAATAAAACATGAACCTTGCCTTTGTTTTCCCAATTCTAAAAGCAGGCCAAATAAACAATGATAATCGTTTGACTCTCGAGACTACAGAGCTTGAACTTGAACATACTAAAATCGAAGTTACCTATAGTTACGCTTGTAAAGTTAATAATGTTTAACGGCGTGCTGAGTGAATGTATCTAATCAAATCTGTGACATACCCATAAGATCGTAGATCACAATTCTAAGTTTAAAATGTAATTTGGATTCGTAAGAAGTATTTCTGTTTTAAACTTACCTTTGCTGTCTGAAAAAGATCAATATTCATAGACGGGGATGTTGAAACCTATATTTCCTTTGAATGACCTGCATTTGAACTACGAAATGATCCTGTGGAGAAAAGTTGATGAATTCCAAACAGCTAGTTCTAGCAAATCTACTATATCTAGTATAAGCTTACTGTCTAAAAGTATTTCAATGTTAAAAATATCTATTCAAATGTTTCATTTTTAAAATGATCTTCCCTTAACTTAAATGTGTGACTAATGAAGAATGCTTTTTACCACATCAAACTTAAGACGTGAACTTGACAATTACTCGATACATGTTATAACGCGATTTTCTTTCATTTTCTACAAAAATGGTATGTTTTCGAATGGTCACTTATGTTAATCTATGACCGTGGTATGATTGAAAATGAAAGAACTGAACCAAGTATTGTCGACTTGTTTGAATTATAAGATTTATTTTGATTGATTTAATCTCTTCTTGAATTTTAAAACTTTTGTCCGAACTACATCTGCTATGGAATAAAGTTCA